GCATTGCTTAGCCTGTGGCTGTTTGCCGGAATGCCCTTCGTACCTATGTGCTACTGTAAGTACTGCGCTGCCAAATACCCAGAAAGCAACCAGACACTGAGTCAATGAATTTCAGCCAATTACGGTTGGCCAATGGCGATCTGAGCGCTTTTAGATTTATAGTGCATTTGAGTGACAGTAGAAATATGTTAAATTATTAAATTATCTCCATAGAGGAGACAGGTGGTAGAGTTAGATGGAGGCAGATGATCAGATGATGCTTGACACTGATATCTGCAGTTGAACTTTTTTTCTTTCTACTGAATCTGAGTGATGCTGCAGCATTATCAACAATTAAAGCTGTCAGTAAAGACATCCATCTATTTTCTACCGCTTACTCCTTGGCAGGGTCACAGGGTGGTGCAGGAGGCAATTCCAGCTGTCAACAGGCGAGGGCGGGTTAGCAAAATATTCGCCTACAGTACACAGAGCACTTTCTATTACTAATGTAAACAATAAACATTAATTTACTTTAGCTATTTACTTTAATTATTGTGATTTTTTTTGCCTTTAATGTGAGATGTTTTTTGTCTCAAGAAGCTGCCATGTAAGGCTAAGGTTTCTTTATAAAAGTATTTTTTGCAGTTAAATGATGACCAAAGCCAAACACAATTAAAAAAAAACTATATTATGAATGTAAACACATTCCATCTTTACTCTACCAGTCCTACCTTGCAGCTGCTGCTGTTCCAGGGCCAGTGTCTCCAAGGTGTAATTGCAGAACTCCAGATTCTCCATGGCTTGCATGCGGGCCGTTTCCTCCTCCTCCTCTTCCAGCATGGCTCGGAGTTCCTCTGCTGTGTGAGCATAAGCATCCATGTCGTGCTCCACCTCCTGTAGTCGTAGCAGTAGCCAGGACCTTTCCTCCTCTTCCCTTCGTTTCTGATTCTCCAGTTCCCTCTCTCTTTCCTGCGTGTTTTCCGCTTCCAGCTGGGACTGACTGTCCTGCTCTTGGGAAGCTGGGTCACCAAACTCAGCATGTCCCTCTCTTGTTTGGTGTGAGGCCGACTCATCGGGAGTGTAGAACATAGGGGTGCTCGTTGCGGAGTGGCAGGTTGGGGGAGCTGTGTTTTGTCTTGGGCAGCGCGGAGGAGGACGTGGAGCGGGGCGTGCAGGTTTGTATGACGCTGGGGCGGGGGGACGAAGAGCTCTCGGACGTGGGGGAGGAGGGCGTAGTGATCGACGCCTCTCGAGTGTGGAAGAAGCGGATTTCGATTGCACGTGGTCGTCTACAGGGGAATGTGCGGAGCCTCGGATGATGTCCCTCTCGCTGCTGAAATCTAGAATCGAGTAGTGTCGGGAGATATGGGATTGTCGGCTCTGGTCCCCTACAGAACGTATGCAAGCATCGCTGTACGATGACGTCAAACTTTTCTCAAATTCAAAAAGCTGCTGGGAGAGTTTTGCCTCCAAGTCGGTGGATGCTGCTGCCAGCGACTCAAAGGTAAAGGACTTCGGTGTTAATCCATTGGAGGTATGAACTGTCTGAGGGGAATAAGCACTGCCCGTCATCACGTCATTATTTCTGCCATTAGCATGGGGAGCTAACTGCTTCTGCTTATGGTCCTCTATGAGGTGGATCAGTTCCTGACTGACACCTCTGTTGCTGCGGGTGCCAACATCTGGTGCTGGTCTCTGGTAGTGTCTGCTGCTTTTGGACCAGCCACGCTGAGTGTGAGGCAGGGTTAAACTGTGAGATCGTTTGGGCTGCAGCACTCGTTTGTCACCGTTAGTGTAATTAGAGCGCTGGGTTGTGTTTAAAGATGGGCTATGTTGCTGGTTACTACGTGAAGGTGGGCTAGGACGTGGCGGGAGCCTTGGTCTTGCTGGAGGAATGGACTTACGTCTTTCCTGTCCTTTCTGTTCTACAGCGGCAGGTCTATGAGGCTGAGAGTCAGGCCTTTTAGCCTCTTCTCTCTCCGGTGTTCTGCTGTTAGTCTGGGTTGTGTTTTCACTTGGCACACCTTTCTCCTCAGTCCTCTCAAAGTAATCCAGGTCCCACACTGTATGGTCCTTATATAGACCACTGTCTGATCCATTGGGACACAAATGACCAGGACTGCATTCAGAAGCGAAGCTCGATTCTTTTTCTTCTTTTGTTTCGACTGCATTTGTTTGTTCGGCATTTTCAGTGTTTTCCATTTTGACAAACCGATGAGGAAAAATACCATGCCGCCCCCTGAGCTCACCCTCCAGCCAGCCATCTTCCAAAGTGCTAATGACTCGGATGCGATCGCCAACATCAAAGTCCAACTCGCCGGGCTCCATGGCTCGAAAGTTATACAATGCCACACCGTAAATTCCACCTTCTTCTTCAGCTACATCTTCCCTTTGCTTCTCTTCCTCCCCCAGAAAATCCTCACCTTCCTCCATGCTCTCCTCTGGCGCTTCTACTGCATCATAAGGGTCCTCGTACGTTAGCTGTTGCGTGTCACTGTGTAAATACTGGCACTCCTCGGGTTCTTGTGGAGATCTGAGCAAACCGATGACCTCCACGAACCCCTCAGGGAAGATTCCCCTGCGACCGTCAAGTTCTCCCTCAAACCAGCCCGGCTCAGGCAGAGCGGTGATGATAATCAAATCCCCTTCACGGAAATCCAATTCTTCATTTAGTTGTGCGTGGAGGTTCATCAGGGCGCGTGCCTGGCCCAGGGCATAAGGTGGCAGATCTGAGGCATGGGCCTGAGCGGAGCGTTCAGACAGCTGCTTTGACTGACAAGACAGGTTTAGCTCTTGAACACACGATGTGGGGAAGAGACCACGGACGCCCCAGGCGTTACAGCCACGTTGCCATGGTTCCCCAACGCTCTTCGATGGGCCTGCCTCTCCAACAACCACATCACCTGGAAAGACAAGAATGAAAATTTCAGATTTCCCCAAATGGTCTTCTGTGCACTTAAACTAATATGAATATAATTAAAAGGAATAACACAACAAAGGGGTGGGGGGGGCAGAACAAAAATATTTAAAATATTTTTGTATAAATGTTTGCTATGACTATGACTGCATCTAAAGCCAAGCACATACAGAGGGTTGTAAAAACTAAGATACTGTCATCGTCTGAAATAACGTTAGCTTAATTATCACAAACTTCAGTCGGTGTTGCGGCTAACATACAGAAGCATATAGAACAATAGGAATGTTGTCTGGTCATCGACAGGGTCACGCAGGCCACATACCAAAGACCTGCGGCTCCACCTCCTATTGTGTCAAAGACCAAAACTGGACTGTTGCCAACACTGGTGTTGAAAGTGATACTGGAAATGAACATGTTAACCCTCGGGTGCCCAGGAAAGCCTTAGCTTTAGCTTTGACCGGAGAAAATGTTATTTTTGTAAAATAGGACAGAAATACCAGTTTTGTCTGGTTTAAATTCAAATTGAATAAAATAATAAATTGTTCATTACAATAAGATTAAGATTTCAATAAGAAAATAATACTCAATACATGTACATGCATACATATATTGTATATAAATATATATGTATAAAATAACTACAATTATTGCCACATCTAGTGGCTTTACCTACAGTGAGTGAACTATGATTGAAATCTCTAGAATCTCTACAAAGCAAGCGGCAGTCAGTTTCGAATTGGTTTCTGGTGACATCTAGTGGACAGTTTTAAAACAATTGAAAATGAATGCTTTGTGATTCGTGATACTGCAGTTTTCTTTTCTTGCTTTGGTTAACGCAAATAACTTCTACTGTAATAAACAAATATATATTTTCATGCTGTTTTATTTCTTTTTGGAAAAGAAATAGAAATGTCGTTGATCCAGATGAAAAGTCTTCTAGTTTGCAGCAACGGAGACGAGGCAACAGTCACAGTTTGGCATGGGATTTGAGACTTAATTAGTGCACTACCACACAAAAAACACACTGTACCGTACCTGAGCGGAGCGACATCAACATGTAGCGTTAAGCTGGGAGAGAACAAGTCCCATTAGAGTTACCAGATGTTAGTGCTAATTAAAAGACAGAGACCTTCAGATAGATGCAGGGTCATTCTGTAACCTATGCAAACGAGCCATGGTACCATTTGCATCAAATATTTGTGGCTAAACCACAGGCTGTCAACATGCAAAGCCAGAGTACACCGGAGCATATTTGCAAATTCGCACATGAAAGCCAGAACTACCTCTCTTCAGACACAGTTTTCCAGGTGCACATGAAAGCCAGAACTGCGTCTATACCTCTCTTCAGACACAGTTTTCCAGGTTCCGCTGAGGCAAAATCGTTGATGCATACGTAGAGACAGTCTCCAGGTTTGGTGCTGGGAATGGTAATCTCTTCCACAAAGGTGCTGGGGAACTGACCTGAGGGCAGACCGTAGAACAAAAACACTGTTAGGTGACGTCAGTCACAGCGGTGAGAGAATCTTCTGTTTCCTCACGGCGACGGAAACGCTGACTTTGTTGCCCTCTGTACATACATGTAAGACCAAACTAAAGTTAACACACAGGCACATGGATTTTCAAAGAACAAATTTAGTAAGATAACATAAGAATTAAAAACAGAACGGTTATGCTGTGTAGTTTTTTTTTACAGCAATTAAAAAAAAAAAAACTCTTACTCTTTCGAGATGACTAATCTAGACCAAAGCAAAGTGATTCATACTTAATATTTTTAGAGCTACAGCATACAGGCACAGAAACTGCCGTAAAACTTGTGTCACGTCAGCATGTGGTCACAGATTGTGTCACACATTGGAAACATCAGATGCATTACATTTTCCGCTTAAAAATTGACAATCCACTGTTCCGCACAAGCATACGACGTCAGCGAACATTCACTTTAAAGTAGCAAGACGCATAGTTTTATAAATGTCAAGCATTAGCTCTGATAACTAGGGATCGTCCATCAACATATATTTATCAGACTGCAGACTTTCAAGCCTCTGCCTGAACCTGACGCTGAACTGAGTTTGAGACCGCCGGCCGTACGCTTTTGAAATATTTAACATCGTCCTCCTCTTTCATTGAACATAGACAAACCTGTGACGCCATCTTTGTTTCCCAGCAACCAGAACTCATCCACAACGCTCAGCACTTCGATGACATCACCAGTGAAGAGGGGCAGCTCCTCAGAGACGCTGGGCAGAAACTCAAACACGGCTCGCACCAGTGACCCAGCTTCCATTACTCATCACCTGTACAGATACACAGCACAACAAAAAAATGAAATCAAAATACATTTGGAATACATTTTTAGAATTTTATTATTTTTCTTTTTTTTTAAAGCTAACACTCCCGTTCTAACAATATAAATCAGGAGTGGCTTTACAGCGATGGAAAAAAAAAAGAATCAAGCACTCACATGAAAAGGGGAGTGTTAGTCTGAGAAACCAAGAAAAGAAAGAAAAGAAACTGAGAAGCAAAGAAAGAAGGAAATAAAAGAAGCTGTACTTAAAAAGGATTTTAAAAAAATCCCTTAACGTCCCTCCTGCTTTCCTAGGAGGAACCAGGTTTTACAGATGAACCCTCGCTACAGATTAGTTCATTCAGGCTGACGCAACTCATCATTACCCAGAGTGCACTTCACAGATTTCACATCATACACACTTCCACTTCAAGCTTCTGTTTTTTTTTACTTTTTAGTTTGATCTTCACAATTTTGGAATCTAGTTGCAAACCGAATTGGATGGTTCCAGGAATACTGTTTAGAATAAGTCATGGGATTTGTTGTTTATCTAACTAAATATTGCCTATCGCTTAACTGATTACGATTGTTTTTTTGTTTTGTTTTTTCACAGAAATTAAGCTAATGGACCAGAGAATTTCAATTGCTTTTACACAAAGCTTGTTGCTCCTCCTCCTCTCCCTGCAGGAGAGGGAGGCCGAGCTACATTCTGTTTACCAACACTGGCCCCAAATTCCTGCATATTTAATTAACACTTTATATAACAAATACTGATTTATTTATTTACTTGGTTTTGTTTTGTTAATCGGCAGCCATTTTTGTCATTAGAAATCACTTTGCAAGTGTCTTATACACCAACCACAATAAAATAATTAATAACAATAATCATATCACTATAATAAGCACATAACAATGAAACACTAGAATGTACTTTAATCAATATTACTCCGGCTATTGTGCATCTTCCCCCATGTCAGATTAATCACAGGTGTAGAGGTAAGTGCTGAGAAAGAGTTGGGAAATAAGAGAAGACTGTCAAAGAGGCCTCTGTTGAAGTGGGCTCACGGTGCCAGAGGGGGGAGAGGAACAAAACTCCAGCACAGCGCAGTGCCTCAGTGTCTGGGGAGCGACGCAGCTCAGGTTAACCAGGAGATGGAACTCAAAGTACCTGCAGACTATGCATGCATGTGTGTGTGTGTTCACTTCTTAATGAAAGCTGAGCGATACTGTTGAACTCAATTCTTGGCACACTGTTAGGTGTCTGGAAGGTTGTGAAATCAACACCACAGTGTTAAAACCACAAGGAAACATAAACCAAGACATTAACTGATCTGAGACACAGGGAGGGAGGTGTCATGTCATTAAGACTGTACCTAATAAATCATTTGAAATTAGTTAATTACATGGCGCTTTGGCCCAGAGGCAATGTCTCTGTCATTGGTGTGGAACTCCAGGGTTCACCTCCTGGGCAAGAGGGCAGTTGGCGCCTTCCAGTGGACTCACCACCTGCAGGAAGGTTCAGGGGGGTTGGTACGGTGCAGTGGGATTTGGGTGGCGGTCATGGAGACTGCTGCCCCCGCGACCCGGTAACGGATAAGCGGATGAAAATGGATGGATGGACAGTTAACTATCCCGTAGATAGGAGTGTAGTCCGTTCCACATCAGCACTCATGTCTCGATCCACTCATATCAAGATTGCGTTTTCCCCATGCACATCTCCATAAGTCGGAACTCACACACTGTACATGAGTACCTGTGTCACTCAACTACACTAAAACACCATCACACTGAAACCAAAAGCTCTCCTTCTTGTGCAACGTCTAGAAGATCCCGGAGAAAAGTCACTGCAGAGCTAGTTAAGTTAATCCACCGATCTTCATCCAGCCAGACAAGCTCCTTAGTGTTATTTACAGCTCTGCTACTGTGTTAGTGGAAGCCTGGGCTCGGTGCCCCGCTTTGGTAGTTGACAACGAGACAACAACACAGATCAGTCTGTACGACGTAGCATTAGCTAGCCGATTATCCATCTCTAAATATCTTTCTGTCAACAAATATTTTGAATATGTGTGAGGGAAGATTATGGTGGGAATTATTTTTAAATATGTCAACACACACAGCTCATGATTAATTACACAATTACTGGTCTGGAAACTGAGGTTTTGACGGAGGTGCAGGAACAGAGCTATATAAATCAAGAATGTTGTAAAGGCACATTGAAAGGCATAGATCACTGCTTTTAAAACGCATTTATAGCACTCTCTGAACACATTTCCAGAACATATCAACAGCACAGCACAGCCTTTTGTTATGTTGTCTCTGGCTGAAGGGTTCTATGACAAAGGGAAACAAACTGTTGAAGCACAGTAGCTGATGTGTGTAGAGTAAAACATGACATTCTACTAATGTTACTTATGCACACACAGTAATTCCTGAGAAGAATGAAAAATGCATTTCCCAAACAGACAGCTCTTCATTTCAGGTGTGTCAACTCTTGCGTGGTTTATGATGCACTGATAAGCAACAGGACTCTGATCAAGACTGAATGGTTTCCTCGAAAAAACCTTATGATAATAGGACGAGTATGAATGTAACACTGAATTACTTTTTATTTTTACAGCATGTTTGTGTATTTTTTATTTTATTTTAAAAGCGCAGTGGCCGACCGGATAGAGAAAGAAAGTTGTGTCTGCCACTTGTCACCGTCGTGAAGAAAGTAGCAGCACTTCGACGGACAACAGCTGACACACACATGCACACACAAGAAGCAGAAAGGGCGGGTGTGTGAGAGAAAAAAGAGAAAAGAGAGAGAGACTGTGTATTTAGACGCGTCTCAGCTGTCAGTGATACAAAGCATGAACTGTCTGTGGCGGTCCACAGACAGTTCATGCTTTGACAAATCTCCACACAAACATGAACATGAAACAACATACTCCACCTGCAACAACATTGAAAAAAAATAAATAAATAAAAAAAAGTGATTTTATAACTGTTTACCAGTATAAAATGTGATATTATTCATTTGCCCTCGTGGTTAGCACTGGGTTTTTCGTGAATTAAATGCAAATGAGAAAAGTTCCATGTCAGGATTATTGTCACTAAAATTGTTTCATAGATTTTGAAATGTTGACATGTCTGATTTAATTCATATTTTTGCATTATACCAGAAGTATAAGACCACAGTTACCTTGTTCAGATATCTCCAAGAGGTGAGGTCCGGGCATGTCCTACCAAGAGAGGACCCAAGGGAATACCCCAAGACTATGCCACTCGGCTGTACTTGGAATACCTAAAAAAAAAAAAAAAACACTTTCATTCAAATACTTACTAGAAATATTTAGAAACTACAATATTTGAATTAAAATACACTTTTTTTTAAAGTTAATGACATTATATTCTACAATAACAATGTTCCAGTGTAAAGTGCTAAAACCTTGTTGTTGTAGCTGCAGAGAAGAGGAAGCAGGATCTGCTGACTGACTATGTCTTTTATTAAACAGGGTCAACTGAAGCCCACAAAAAAACCCGCTGGGCACACGCACTGTCACACAGACCACGTGCCATTCAGCCCATTCACCGGTGCCACCGGCCTGTGTACGAATGTCAGACAAACATGGTCAGAATCCTCCAGAGTGAGCTGGACGACAGCTGACATTTTTAGTAACGATTGTCCTTGTGTCGTCCACAACGTCCAAAAAACGCTGAGTCCCCTGAAAAGAGTCCACCTCCAAACAAGAATTCCAGAAAGCAGGTGACAAAGGCCGCACAGCTCTGTGATACATCTGTCGCCTTCTTCTGTATCAGCACATGTGATGGGTAATGAAAGGGGGTAGAAGGGGGGGAGCGAGACACCGACAGCTGTCAACACAAGTCATGTGTTTCTCTTTAACTGAGTGTTTACTGAGTGAGTTCTGCACAGACAAACTGGAGCATGAGCTGGATGAGATGAAAAGAAACACACACACACAGAAACCATGTGAAATGTTTTGGATGAGCCCCTTTCTGCCAGATGGATGGGCTTACACTCAAAGGGAAGGCAAAAAAAAATTGCTCATTCTTCAGTCATTTGACGTTACACATCTGGCAAGTTGAGTCAAACCGAAGATGTCAGATTTTGAAAACCAAGCTCAGGCACGTGAACGGTAAACACGGAGAGGAACGTCTGCAAAAGCATGCGAACACGTTGTACAGTACACAAACATTACTCTGCAGTTACACTGGCGCATCTGACAGCATCCTGGGAAATGGGTCCATCTCTGTAACATTGCCCACCCATCCATGTGTTGAATATCAATTGATTATTTGACACGCACACACACGTACAGTACACAGACACAGGGCGGAACTGCTTCTTCTTTGCATAAATATTTCCACTGAAGAAGAGAGCTCAGACTGCACTGTCATAGACACGTGAGTGTGTTTGAACGGCAGAGGGTTTTCCCCATCAGGACCCCAGAAGTGCCCAAGGACAAGCCGCACCCCTGAAGCAGAGCCGATTCCTAATAGTTTGCACATGAGCTGTTACATAACCTGATTTCACTCTTTCTCTCATTCTTTCTGTGGCAGGAATGGCATCAGGACATGTTTACAGAATGTTTGGAACGTAACGGAAAATCCACCGAAACTCAGTGGAAAAAGACAAATAAATGAGAGGATGTTTGACAGGAGGGAAAAAAAAACGTGATTTTTCTTCATTTGTATGAGGACGTAGTCGTCATCTTTGCGGCACCACAACTTCAGTGATGCCCGGAATCTCACAGGTTCCTCTCAATTTGAAGACTTTAACTTTTTTTACAGTCAAAGGTTCATAATGATCCAAAAATAATTTTCACTGGATTGCTATTTATACCAATGCAAATTAGTCACATGTGTACAAAATGTACTGGCAGCACAACATTTAGGTTGCAGTGACACAGCACGTCCGCTGCAGTCAGCTGACCCGAACTTCCTCTGAGTGGGATTTATATAATCAAACGTATACTTTAGTATCACCTAAACCTAGAGATGAACTCAAGCTTTTGATTTTACAGCTTTGCTAGCAGATACACAGCAGGACCTTGCAGAGTGCAGCAAGAGAACTTGTTTTGTCTTCTAGTGTGCACTTCTCTTGTTTTTTGAGTTTTATCCCTTTTGTTTACTCTACAGGAAAGACTCAACTATTTATTCTCTACTGTCAACTTGTTTTTTTTTAATCCTACTTCTCTCTATCGCGTTCTCCTTCCTCTCTTGTCTTACATCACCGAGTTTCACTCGTTCCTGGCAAGTCCATCTCCAAAATAATAATACGTCAAACGTGTCCTCTATCTCACCTCGGTATACTGTATGATGAAACCATCTCAAAATCTTTCTTACATTCTCTCCAAACTGTTTTACTTAGCTTCTACATCTGCATGCTCCTAACTGGAATTAATGTAAGATTGTGTAAGATGTGGTTTTTTTTTTGTGCCAGGTAATAAAACCAACCAAGTGACACAAACATCTCACGTTTCTTTGTCACCAAGTGGTGATATAGGACTCTGTTGCCAGCTTTGAATTATTCAGCAGGCGGAATGTTCATGTTCATCTGAAATCCTGACTAAGCAATAAATACAAAAGTGGGATAACGAATATACAAACGCTTTTTTGCTCTGTTAGGAATTATGCAATCTGCTTTCCATGCAGTTCATGTGCCAAAAGATGATTCTGTACATTCTCTTGTACACAATATCTAACATTTACTTTGGAAGTTTATGGAGAAGCCATTCCCAGTGACTTAATTAGAGTTGTAATTGTCTTAAATAGTGGACATAGGGAAGGGATACGGGATAACAAGCTTTTAACGTGAAATTTTATGAAGTGCACCTTTGTTTACATCACATCTGATGTGTCATCATTTTGTTTAATGGAACAAAGTTTGTATTGACTTAAAATGCAACAATAACAAGGCTGTGTGTGTAAAAGATGTGGAAGGACATACAGACACAGCCAAGGAAACACTCCAGCACAGTGTGTTGTGATTTGTGATGATGGGACAACTGACAGCAACAGTCTCACAGGTGACAACACACATGGAGATCGTTTGTGCCGCAGCACTTATGTTCATTGCTATCACTGTTTGGACTCACAGGACCTGCAGCGTGTCATAGACTCGTCTGTATGTGTCCCACACTGGAATTACATTTTTATTACTGTGTAATGTGTCACCAGTGCTGGGATTGACAATGTTGTCCATATCCTATTACAAAAAAAAATGTCGAATATATGAGTTTTCCCTAATTGGAAAAACGTTTAAAGTGTTTACTTTACCTGTGTATTGTTGAAATATCCAGAAGTGGTGTCCGGCTTATAGAGCTAGTCCCAGTAGATATCCACACTCCTCCAGTCTTGCTGATGTGGTCGAGGTAGAGCTGCTGCTTTTCTCGTATCGACACAACTTTTTCCTAGAAGCTACACTTCACCTCCCTCTATTCAGAAGCCGTGTCTTTCGTCACAGTCCTGCCGAGAACGAGCGTTTTATCTCAGCGTGAAGGTGGCGAGTGACGGGGCACGCAGCGAGTGGGAAGAATCAGCTGTCATCTCGTTACAGACAGACACTCAACGGCAGTTTCTTCTCACCATGTACACACACACACAAAACAGTGAACGCCACCCACTTTTTTCCACAGTGACGCGTGGCTGTCCACGCTGCTGCCTGACTAAAAGTATGTACATACGTATTAATACACCAATTAAAGCAATATGCGACGTATAGCACGTGAAAAACAGGCGATCGAAAGGGCACTAAAATAAATTCTGAAAACATTATAGCAGTTAATTAATTTCAGTTGATAATAATATACGAAAATTCGTTATTTAAAATCCAGATTCTTACATACACAAGGTTTTATTGCATTTTCACAAAATTTTTAAAGAAAGCTTTCCTTATTATGTAAACTTTATTCATTAAATATATTATTATGCTTTAGAAAAGCATACATGTCTATAGATAATAAAATTACGAGCATATTTACAAAATGTTTCAACATACTGTGATGGCAGTAAGATCCACCAATCTTAGCTCTGTTTCACTGGATGCGGAAAAAAAAACAACAACTAAAAAAACACAAAAATATCAACAGTTTAGTTTTTTTTTGAGTGTTCCTCTGCAGGTCAGCACTTGTTTGCACACAAAAATCTCAACAGTTTAGTTTAGTTTTGAGTGTTTACCTCATTCCTCTGCAGGTCAGCACTTGTTTGCAGTGTCCACCCCACCCAGACCAAACAGATGTTCCTAAAGGAAATAATATTTTTTCATACTTTTGTTTACATGCATTTAATGTTTGTCTATCCAGTCCCTATCATAATTCCTTTGTTTTTCCTAACCTTTCGATATTTATGATGAAGACACCATTCTGAGAAAGGAAGGGAAATATTTAATTATCTGTAATCATACACTTTAAGCAGCAGGAAGCCATAACCAGCCCTCTCTGTTGTGGCTTTCTTCTCTAACTGCCACGTTTTACACTCCTTAGGACAATGAAAAGCTTTTTAGAGTGTGAAAATCATAGTCTTTGCATAGACGGTTGTCAGTGGGGGACCTTCTGTCAGACACAGTCATTATGGATTGTGGTGTTTAACAACGAAATCCTACTTTTGCTGTGTCTGCAGTAATGACAGCTTCCTCATGTGAAATCTTGTGCAGAACAATAGCAGGAAGCTAAGGCATTTGGATGGCTCTGCGTGTGTGAGTTGTTACGGAAAATTGACAGATATAGGAGAGCTCACACACAAGGACTTTGGTGGGACAATAGCCTTGGCCAGATACTGTATAAACAAGTGGTTCACAACCGCTGTGCAGAGGCACATTTCTGTGACCATGAGTGATCATCAGGTGGGCCTTGGGGAATGATCCAATTCTACTTAATGTGTCTGAAAACTATTATTGATTTATTGTAATTAATTAGTTTGAATTTGTACCATATTTTCTTCTTTATGGTCATTGAAAATGCCTCATGACAAATAGAAATGATTTTTTTTCTATAAGCGTCATTTATCAACAACAGGAAATTAGGACAAGTGCTGCGCTGGCTTTGGACTCTTCGTCGACAGCAATCCCACCTGCAGCTGCAGCTGTTTCCTAAAATACAGGTGGGACATAAGTATTCAAAGAAGTGGAAATCAGGGCAGTTGATGAGGACAAAATTCAGGTAACAAAAAGCCCCAAAACATATACAGTATTGTGTACAAATGATTAATTATCTACATTTATTAATACATCAATAAAGAACATTATTTAAACAGATGCATATGACAGTGACAAATGGAAGATAAATCAATAAACATGCATTTCAATTGTAAATAAAAGAATATCTTTCTCCAATAACAAGACGTATTTGCCAATTTAAACAGGCTTGGGTGGACATCAAATGACTTGACGTATCTTTAACTAACCATTACTCAATGAGTCAGTGTGCGTACAATTTGTAGGACATTTCTGGCTCCGAGGACAGAGTGGTGGGCTTCATTGACCAACTAGGAGCACACACACACACTCCAGATTTGTATAATGCATCTTTGTCTCCTCTCCTACAGAGGCCGCTTTCATTAAAGGGCAGATTGTAAGTCCATTGTTGTCTTTCAGTATTTGCTGGCAGTCAATCGTCACAACACTACAATGCTCTGCAGTCAGAGACCACACACACAATTGTGCTTCTTTTGGGAAGCCTCGGCTATGACAAAGTGTTATCACAGAGATAAAATGAAAAGGGTTATGGGAAAATACTAGATTCACAGAGGGACTGATGTCAGTGATTCAGTGACTTGGATGATTATTGTGAGTCATTTTTTAAATGTGACTGTGGGTCCTCGTGTCTTCACTTGTCTATTGTAAAACAATGATAATATGTTGTGCATATAGTTACGACCTGGGTAACACTGTGATAAATTCATCGACTGCCAGGTGAAATGCGCTTTTCCTTTTTCCTGTTCGTCACAGAGGGGGCTGTTTTCAATGTTCTATTGTGTTTTGGAGTGGCGCATGAAAAACAAGACGACCACTCCTGTTGGAGAGTTTACTTTATACGTTACAAAGTTCACTTGACTGTCTCGATTAGCCTAGCATATTTCCTATTCTTGGTTTTGAGCAGTAAGTATAATGTCTCTGTGGCTGTTGTGTTTATGTTTATGATGTTTTCTTCAGTTTAGTCATGCACTACACTTTTTAAATTTGCTCTGCTAAATACCCAGTAAAAATTATTTCCATAAAAATTCCACAAAATCCCTAGCGGTGCCCCAAATATACTGTTAGCAAGTGGTGTTACAAGAGAAACATCATTTAAAAATACATCAATTTTATTTTTATATGAAAATGTGTCTACATTTTTGGCTTCTCTCCCTTTTTTTGCAGAAGTGACATAAATCTCAGACAAGTTTGTTGGGAAACTCCGCATTATTAGGCATGACTTAATATAGGGAGAAAAAGAGATGTAAAATAGTTCAGTAGTTCATACAAACTTGACGCATCATTAAACCGGAAAATGTCTAAGGTCAACAACAGAGAAAACAATTTCTACAGTGTATTGACCAAGGACATCAAGATGGTGCAGCAACACTGACATCTATCGGTCAAAATGATACTGCATCATATTTATGAACTCGGACGTTCGTTTTATATTACACATATTTATTTGCTTTGATAACTGTCTTTGAAATGATCATGATAATCACACGTCATGGGTCAACTTGAGGTCAATTCAGGTTGAGTTACATAACCTTTTTCTGCATTTCTTTAATATTTTTTGTGTTTTCTTCTTACATTTGGTTTACACTGAAAAACAGAGGGTTAAAATAAGTCATGACACAAAAAATGTCTTTTATTTTTCTCAATTTCCCATCCAATTATAGAAAACGAAACATTACAAAATCCTTTACAAATGCAGGATCGCTGTGTTCATATAAATCGTTGTTGCTACATAAATACACCTGATATGCAACAAATTCTTAATAGAGACTGTTTATTATATTTATATCAACAAAAACATAATCACAGGACTACAAAGATGAATGACATATGTATTATATATTATGGTCAATTACCTTTTCCATCAACTGTGTTTATTTGGTACAGGGGGAACGTATCTCTTTACAATACGTGGGGCTTACAGTGTACTGTAGGTGAGTGTGTGCATGTAAGTGTGACATCTAAATATTGTCCGTGTCTCATCTGGGGCCCAGCTTTGACGAGGCCTTAGGAGACGACAGGTTCCTCTTGCTGTTGTGTGGCTTCACTTTGTGGTGGTGTTTTGGAGCTGATTTCAAATAAAAATTCATCTGTTGAGGAGAAGAAAAAAAAAATTGACACCTGGGCTTAACATGTTCGTTTGGAACAACCTCTGAAGAACATGAAGAGTTCTTAATCACAGTGCAAACGCACCTGTGTGGCCTCAGCTGGTCCGACTGTAACAGTGCTGGTGAAGGGCAGGTAACCTGGGGAAGAGGCTGTCACAGTGTAGGTGCCTGGTAGCAGTAGTCTGAAATAGTCACCATCCACTCCTGAGGTAACGTACACATGAGATAAAAACAATAACAACAACAACAACAAAAAGAATTAAAAACAATATCTTCACTTGAAATGTGTGTCAATATAAACAGGTTTTCTAACCGACTACCTAACAACAACTTAGTAAACATTGCAAATGCCATGTTTAAATCCGAAATGCTAAAACTGGTCGCAAGAGGGCGCCTGAGTCCGTACGATTGATGGAGTCAAAATTTCCTGGGAAGACTCAAGTCAACATTAAAGTTATGCCCATTTTTTACTTTTTCTTTCATGTGTTTTTCCGATGTTAGTGTCGAAAGGTTTATGGAATGAAAATTAAAAAAAAAAATTTGTTTACACTAATTATAGCCTCACATTCCTACCACTGTATCTTACCGCTGGTCACATCATGTTGAATTCCCGTTACGGAGATTTCAGCGTTCCTTATGGGGTTGTTATTTTCATCATACACCATGCCCTTTATCCCATGATGCACCTGGAATGAGAGAAATGAAGGAAAACATAGCATGAATTTAGTGGTTAATCTTTTTTGTGTTGTTTTTTTTATAAAACAAACAGTGGCAACGTTTCTGTTTATTTATTTTTTTTATCACAGATGAATAAAGGCCATCCTGTTTTCATGTCATGCTTGACAGAATGTAAGAGTCCGTTTACTTTTGTTTCCTGCTGCTCATTCTGAATCACTGTAACCAGAAAATCTCTGCCAATGTTTGCACAAAACCAAAGAAGAAGCAGAAGTTCTGGTAGTTTAGACCTCTGTGGGTTGTCATGTGTATGTGTGTATGTGTGTGTGTGTCTGTCCAGTTGAAAACCATAATTTACTGCTATAACTAAAACCAGCATATGTGTTTGTTCTGACCTGTTCTATGTATGAGATCAGTGCTTCTCTGTTGCCCAGCCACTCTCGGGGAAGTGTTGATGCCGAGGGAAATTTATCGCAGCTCAACTCCAGGGTGATCTCAAAACAGTTGGAGTAAAGGTAGTTAAAGTCCTGCATTCCTAAAACACACAAATAACTCGAGTTAGTCATCTATCCATCCATCTAACCATCCATCTATCTATCCATCCATCTATCCAACACCATCCATGACATCATCAGAAGAGTATAATAATTATAATTATAATTACAATATATATTTATAGTATGACAAAAAGTGTTATGTATATAGTAGAGGCAGAAAAGTGTTAAGGAAACATGTGGTGTACTTAGGTTTTCCCATCAAATAGACTGAATAAAAGAGAAACACAGAAAGTAGCAGTGTGGGACTGACTGGTTTTTACTGTGGAATTTATTACAGAGAACTAAAAAAATCTACTGTTTGTGCAATTTTGGTTGGTGGAAGTAATTTGTAGGAAATAGTTTGATAGAAATCCACTGGGCCCAGAATTGGACAGACTGCCTGACTCAAAGGCTGTCTGCTGTATATACAGTAGCAACAATAACTGGAAAGGACTGCCAGTATTGCCGCACGGACTCTCATAGACCGTGATGTAACACTTGGAGCAGAAGGAGGCGTTAAATCAAACATAACGTACTGCTACCAAATGAAACTGTGGGTGTTTCCCGTTTAATCCAAAAAAATATTCAAGACTTGAGTCAAAAGCTGCTCAGGCTCCAGACTAGACTTATGACTGCTGCGGTACTAAAATATCTGAAACAGCACGGGCAGAACGCACTGTGTGTCAGAACTAAATAACACAACTAATGTTTGTTGAAAAATGATTTTGCGTGAGAGTTTAAGGTCAAAAGGAGTCACCACGTACAGGGGAACACCAGGTGCTCCGAGCCTCGCGAGACTCTCACAGTATTACATTGTTCTTGAATCTCTCCTTATGTCTGCCGTCCTTCAGAACGGTGGCTGTCTGCAGGCAGCGCTTTGTTTTCTCGTACAGAATGGTCTGTTTTGACCTGACACTCCTCCTGTTTATCTTTGTACAAAAGTCTAGACTGAATATTCGACTGATAATCAGAAGCACCTTTCCCAGTGTGTAAAGCATTGTCCCAGGTTTGTTAAATATACATTGTTCTTCCCAAGACAAAAAAGTGAATGATTGCCCTCTATGTAGCCCCTTCCTGTAAGACCACCATCAACCAAAAGCGTGATGCACTTTACATACATGCCATTTTGAGTGTCATTACAAATATGGTATCATATACGTGCCATTTTGAGTGTCATTACAAATATGCATTGCCGCAACTGATAAACATCAGTCTGATAAGGACCGATGTCACCAACAGAAACCTTACCTTTGGACAGAGAGTACCAGCCGGCCCCGTTGGTGATACCCTCATCAAAGAAGTCCCCACAGTTCCAGCCCTTGTGCATCCAGCTGTGGCCATATGAGTAGGTCCTTGCTAACTGTTAGCACACACACGTACACATGCATCAACATCCCGAACATGTCACGTGACACGTGACGTGATCTTCATTTTTGGGGGTTTAAGTGTATTTGCAACACACCTGTCTGAAGAGCTTGTCATCCGGAGTGGCTGCGTACATGGTTCTCCCTCGTATGCGAGGGTCTCTGGACTTGTCGAAGGGGTAGTTAGCCACCACGGCACCTCCATGGAGGTTGGCAGACAGGATGAAGTTGTAGTTCTGCATCCACTTGATGACGGCCAGTGTCTCTGGTTCCACCTGAGGATGAGCATACGTGAGACAGATTGTATGCTTGAATAAATTGTCTGTGGGCTAACAAATGGTTCACCTTAAGTAATTTTCTTAAATAACTTGAGTTCTTAGTTTTTAGTAGAATGTGTTTGAATGTAAAAAGTCACACATTTTAACATGCTCGACTTTTGTTTTTAAACTCAGGCAGACGGATATACGCCATTTAAAAACTCCGTAGGTTAGTTTATATTTTAGTATTTATAGTACAGATATATTAAAGCTTTACATTCAACCTTGGCTCCCCTTATAATGCAAACTATCCTCACTTACTCTGAGCTCTATATCGTGCTTGGAGTCCAGACGTAATACCTCTCCTTGAGTGAGGTATGTGGGAAAATAAACACACAGTCTGGCTCCGCTCAGGAATGATCTGCTCAGAGATCATTGGCCTTGAATGCGGCATTGGTGGGATACACTGGGAGACTTTAAGGTGGAAACACATTTTGATAGGTGTTGAGATCAGTTCGCTTGCAGAGGAACACAGTCGTCACCTCTGTGCTGTCAAAGCGTATCTCTCTTTAAGGGTAAAAGAAGAAAACTCCCGATGAAAACACTGCCGGTTTTCTAATGTAAATGTTGCAGGCTAGCCTGGTCTCTCTGTGAGGATGCAACTGTGGTCGGCATGAATGAAGTATCTGTTACAACAGCACAGTTTCTCTTTTGTGTATCTGCCCTCTAGGCAGCAGACCGCCAGGCCGCAACTGGGAAGCTCGGCGTTTAAGTCTTCTCAGTATTTGCACGAAAGAGGGTAAATTAGAAAACAGCAGAAGAAATCATGGGTGGTTGTTTGCTTTGGAAGAAAACCTCCTTGTTATGTGGTTAAAAACAAACAAACATTTTCTACAAATGATTTCCCATCTGGGTGTTGTAAAGCAAAGATTAGAAATCTCTCTTTTTATCCTCAGGCTGAGATATTCAAATGTACTACACATTATTCAAAGTCATTCAAATAATCAATATACTGGACCATTACTAGTGTATGGTGGTTTGATTAGTAATTCTGCTTGTCAGATTGTATTTCCCTCTTGTCGTTTACAGGGACCCAGGCCAGTATTAATTAGTTTTAAAGTGGAAATTAAATATTTACAGCGTTGTCAAAAAGGATCACATGACTCACAGCAGGTGCCTGCATACTGTACAGCCACCTCTTAGTTCACTATATTTGACTATAAAAGACCAAAGAAGAGGAGTATGGCAGAGTAACTGGCATTATTAGAGCACAATTTATTAATAATTATTTCATGAATAATTACTGTTTATGTTTATGAAAAATGAGGATTTAGCAGGAAGTGACTAACATTACTGTCTTACTTGAATAAAAGGAGAGCAGAGTATTTTCTAACACAAAACAATAGCAATGTTTTGTGAATTTTCACTGAAAGTAAGAATTAAAATAATTGTATCTTTATATTTTAAAGTAAAATGATGCCAAAATTATAATTTGCCCTCTGAGTTTACCCAGCGGTAAGTGTTTCTTTGCCCAAAAACTGACTGCAAAAGTGAGGGAAACATTTAAAAAATGTAAGCCTCTGCAGACAGCTCTGCATTCTTTCTGCAAGCCGTCAGAATGGCTAAGACAATAGATGTGGGAGATTCACTGTTACTTTCTAGTTTGCTCCTAGCTCCAGCTTTAACATGAGGAAAGTGACCACAGTCTGGGTGTTTGTGTTTTGACTGTCCAAGCGCTATATAACAGCTACACTCAGAGACCTCGGAGTAAGTCACTGGACTTTTCACTGTGGTGCTAAAGCGAGGGAGAAGAATGTTTAACTGGAGCTGGAAGTCTTCATGTATGCGACATACTGTGCTGTACATCTCATCACGCGTCCTTGAGCTTTTGAGCGAGGACTTCTGCTTTTCCATTTAAGTTTTTGTAAACATTTTAGCCGACATCCTAGACTTTCATGGAAACATTTTTTTCTTATACCCAAAAGGGGAGAACGCACTTCAGAAATGAAGCTGCAGCAAGTTTTGGAACAATATTCGAGGGCAGCTTTTTTTTTTTTTTCCCACTGACCTGACAATTTACAAGAACATAGAGCGAGCGGCTAAAGCATGATGTCTTTACCAGTCTTCCCAGGAATTCAGTTAAACCACTCTAGTGATTTAGAAATAAAGTTAGGAAAGAAAATAAACCTCATGCTCCAATGACAACACGGGTTACAAATCATTTTAAGGATTCTACAGAAATGAAAAGAATAAACACTTCTACCACAGATTCCATAAATAGTTAAAGCATCCTAAAACCTTTGTCTATTTAGTCTTTTCACAGATGACATTTTTTGTACCCGAAGACAGATAATGTAGTTCAGGAGTTCAAAGCTGAAGCCTCCGTTTCTTTTTTTCCTTCCCACAATCAGAAAACAAAATAAATGATAAATGTTCAAATAAAATGCAGCATATAAAAATATTTGAGCTGGCACATCTTTGATTGACGGCTTCGATCACCTAACTGCACAAGTGACAGCTACGTAAGTTCCCGTGCTTCATCCTAAGAACGCACTTGCAAACTTGGGAAAATAAAATGTCACTTTGTACACTAATCTCCATCAAAAACCAAATATTGAAAAACAAATGTCTAATGTCAAAATGGGGTCACAAGCCAAAAAAGGTTGGGAACCACTGGCCTATGACGGGAATAGGAAATATGAAAGGAACTCTATGCAGTACCTAGAGTCAACAAGGGAACTCACGCAGGGCTGAAAACAGTGCAGGCAGCCAGAAATGAAGGGGGAGGGATATAAGGGGAGGTTTGAGATTGAAGGGTAGGAGAAAGATTAAAAAGGGAAGTTTTATTACTGTACTGTATCATGACCTGGTATGATTAGAGACCATATCACCGTCTACAGCAAATGATAGGAAGCTGAGCAGGAGGTGGCAGAAATGAAGATGCTGAGAAATAAGCAGATTAAAGGGAGAGTTAAGGTGGAGCAGTGTGGGAGATGAAGTTACAGAGGTGAGGTGGAGATGGTTTACACATCTGCAGAGGAGAGACGGTGGATATATTAGGATAAAGGATGTTGGAGATGGGAAGGGCCCAGAGAAGAGTTATGGACGTAGTAAAACATACTGGGGAAGCTGACACGTACTGTATGAGGAAAGGAGGAAGGGCCCAGAGAAGATTTATGGACGTAGTAAAACATACTGGGGAGATGGTTGGTTTAACATTAGAGGAGGCAGTGGATATACAGTGAGATGGAGGCAGAAGGTCGAGGTAGCAACAGGCAGACACACACACACACATACAGTATCCCATCTCACATTCCACTGACTACTTAACTGTACCCCCTTGGTGTTTAAATTCCTGCAGACTTTGTTTTCGTTTTACCGTCAGCACATTCTCCCCAGAGAAAATCAAATACACACAATACAGTCAAGAGTACCAACTAAGTCTCCGTTCACGTTCTCCTCTCTTCCAAAGACGATATTTATTCACACATCTCAACTGCTCAGTGTTTATCCAGTAGCACTGACCTGCTGCTCCCAGTTGTCCGGCAGGGGCAAGTGGTGGTTTCTCCCATTGGTTTTCTCATAGTAATACATGAGAGCGTTCAAGTCCGGAAAGTTACGGTTCAGATCAATTTCCTTGGCGTTGCCTCGACCCACCAGGTAGCCGTTGAACTCTGGACCCTGTCGACACGGAGACAAAACTTTTGGAGTCACTGGGACTGTAGTGGCTGATTTACTGTGTCTTGGCTTCAAGGTCTTAAGTATTTTTCCAGAGCCTGGGTCCAGTGAAGGACAACTGAGCACAAAAATCACAACCGTTTAACACTCTTAACAGCAAGAAGGTCCTTTCAAACAAACCTTTAGAAAATAAAGCATAAAAAACCCCAGAAAAGTAGTCAGGATTTCTGACATTTATTTATTGATGAGCGTTGGCTTTAAATTAGGCTTCACATTAAGTTAACGAGGCGCCAATCAACAACCAATCCGACATTAGATTCACCTGTGACTGGAAATGACACCAGGCCTTTTCTGGGGTAAATTACATGTAGAAAAAATAAATAAATAAATAAAATAATAATAACAATAATAATTAAAATAATTAGAATAATCTAAGGATAATAGGTGAATGATAGCATCCATTTTTTTCTTTCTCAGGCCTATTTGTTAAATTCAATAATCTTTAACATTACATCATTCCACTTTCAGTGTGTAGTCAAAAATGAACATGTATTTCTCTTAAATAGTGGCCCAAAATCACCAACAAAATCGCCCTTTGTGGAAAAACCCAACATTGTTTTCTAGCTGTCGCTGCTGAACATCTGCAGACATCTGTAGATGGGACAAATTATAGTGTGATGCACACGTGTCATCTCAGTGGCAAACGCTGGGAGAGTCATGAACGACCAACTACCCCGGGGTATGTAATTAGTGTGGAAGTGTATGTCTACGTGTGTATTTCAGGGTCTATGTAATTACAAATGGAAGAATGCAAAAGGGACCTCTCAGAGAGTGGATCAATGCAGCGGTGGATTAAAGACATCTTGGAATTTTACAAAATAATATTTTTGCAGACTAACAGAGATATGACTGATAAAAGTGTTATTCTTTTTCAAAATTACAATTAAAATCACCACACACAGTCTTTCTACTTTCACTTTCACGTTCCTTCCAACACCTGGCTCGCCAGACGTTTGTGATGTCACAAGTCACAAAAAAAGGTTGGGAACCAGATTGACGTTAGTGTAAGCAGTCAGGCAGCCAGAGTGGTGTGTAGAGTGTGTGTTCACCGGTGTGAATAGACTGGTAATAACAACTCCACTGGCCAGAACCCACTCATGGACATGTGGAAACTGTTTTTCCCAGAAGCAGAAAAAGGTTACTGAAGTGAGACAGGCTGAGGTTTCCCTGTGGAAGGTTTTCCCTCCAGCGTGTGTGAGAGTGAAGGTCAGGCTGTACATTACCTGTCTGGCTGCCACTTCATAGCCGTCGGGGTTCATGGAGGGCAGGATGTGAATGCGTGTGTCGTGGATCAACCTCATGATCCTCTGGTTTCCTGCCAGATACTCCTCACACAGAAACTGGGAGAGCTTGATGAGGAGCTCCCGGCCCAGCACTTCATTGCCGTGCATGTTGCCCACATACTTGAACTCTGGCTCCACTGGGAAGAAGAAGAAGAAATGCAGGCCGCGTTAGGTTGGAATGACGGAAACTTCAATACAGCTGCATGATTGGTGTTTTTTTCTTTCTCTCTGGAATAACTTTGTTTGAACTAATTGGTATTCTTAGCACATTATAGATAAGGGATTTACTTAGCTTAACTGACAGAGGTGATCTTGGGGTCGTGAGTGTGATTAGAGCTGATTGCATTATTGTATTTGTAAAGGGTCATTCAGCATTCCAGTGAATACCTGTGAGTGATTGTTTTAGCCACTTATCCAAACAGTCTTCTTTATGTATCCAGCTCCCTTCCCAGGTGCCTTCATTAATCCCTGCTTCTGTGTTGAGCGAGCCACAGGCTTCACACACTACTGTTACTGCTGAACACTGCCACTGTGGTTTTTATAAAAAATAAAAAAAAAGTCCACCAGGGTCAGAAATAAGCAGTGGCTTGGGGCAAAATTCCCTTGAAATGTCTAAATATACCCTTGAAATTCTCAGTTAAATATATGGCTACCTTTTGCAAAGCCCAAGTGGAGGAGGTCCAACTGGACTTGTGCAGCATACAAAGTCTTTTGTGTGGAACTTTTTGTCAAAGGTCATTGAAGGGGGGAGTCAGATTGCAGATAAAATAAACAGTAGCTCAGTGCTGGACAGGAATAGAAGGTTTAGTTGAAAGTTAGTCGCTTGGAAACCATGTACGACTAGCCAAAATGATCTCACTGAATAGTAGATCCCTGTCTCAGAAATAACTGAATGTTGCTTCAAGAAGAAATGAATAGTGATAAAAGAAAGCACACTATAACACCTATTGTCCAGAAATAGTTGGACAAAAGCAAAAGTAAAGTTATTAAAATATCTGCACAGAAACTGCTTATAACAAAAAGATAAACAAATAAAATAATTTAATCTTCACGTTAAAATAAAATGTATCCCAGAAAGAGATGAATGTACAGTAGCTCAAAAATATTTCCCAGGTGTATAAGAAACCCCCCAAAGTCTTCAGAAATTATATTTTAAAAAAGCTAAAATGATATTAAATAGCTAAAGGTAAGCTAGCGGTTACTAAAGGAAAGTTACAACAATTCTAAATGTATCTAATTTACTAGCGAAGAGTATTTTAGAAGGCCAGTCTGATGTCACCTGGTCAGGGGTGTTAGAACATAGCCCCCCCCCTCCATTTGCTTCAGAGAACCAAATGGTCATCCATATCCTCATCAGCAACCAAAAAAAACAAAAACAAAAAACAAACAAACAAACAAAAAAACTTGTGTGGTTTATTTTTTATAAATATAAATAAACCACACATATATACACTAGCAGAGGAAATACATGAACTTGGAGAAGGGTTGTTCCTAAAGGTCAGCCCCGCTCTTAGTCTTAGTGCACAGTTCCTGTTTTTCACCTTAGAAAAAAAACCAGACTTGCATCCTTCCATTCTACTTAAGGAAGCACCCTACATTTGTCAGTGTAACAAATGCAGGCTCAGCCTTGACCAAAATAGCACTCCCTGCAGTGTTCAAATATCTTACGTCCGTTTGTGGGGCAAATGTTCCTAAAATGTAGTCAAAAATGGTAAATAAACACAAAGGGAGTTGATGTACTGCTTTTATGTGAGAGAGGGAAAACCAAATGAAGCTTCTTTAAGACAGAGTTAGCGTGAACCCCATTTGTCACCTACTAAGCCTTGAACAACACCCCACGTTATCGGAATGGAAAAAGAATTTAAATAAATCACAGATGTTCGGACTCGGACGTTTGGCTTCTGCCATGGCCGGCTCTCCCTCTTCTACAGATAATGCTCAGTGATGTTTATCAGAAGGACGACTTTCATCACTGCTACAGAGCCGTGCTGTAATTTAGCTTTGGGAAGCCCAATAGAAAGCGTACATTTCAGCTTCACAGGGTAAGAAGTGGAGTCTGTGGACTGTTCTGTCCTCTGCCAAATATGTTCTCTGTCTCCACAACAAAAAGTGAAAAACAAAGGAGCTGCCAGTGACACGAGCAGGCTGTGGAAATCACAATTCTGAGCTTGTCTTTTCATTGGAACAACAATGTCTCATATTGGGTGTTTCACTTTAAATGATAGACAACTCACTGTCATAGAAAATATCTCACACATTGAGGCTATGATTCCTTATATATATATATATATATACACATTGAGGCTATGATTCCTTTTATATATCAGCCTCTGAGTATGTGTTGATAAAACTAATTTACAAATGTCACCATGACTGAGATCATCCAGTACCCTGTAATGTTTCTGGATCGTAGGATGATGTCAGGGTAGCCACACACACACACACACGAGGAGAACATGTCAACTCAATGAGGAAAGAACATTAAACACCAGCAGGGATCATCTTGATATTGTAAGGCAAGAACAATAACCCTTCTTACACCGTGTGGCCCTCACTAACCCGTTACTCATCCTAATCAGACCCATCTACCTCCACTCCACTCCACTCTCAGCAGGAGACTCAGCTGTTACTCACATGCCTCATGGATGCCTGGGTTATCACTGAACTCCAGTACGTAGAGGTGTCTCCCCTCCACGCTGCGCCCGATGCTGTAGATGCGCGCGATGTAAGGGCACTGGTTCTGCACTGCAAACAGGGCACGCACCATCTCCTCATACCGGTGATGCTGGAATTCTGAACCCAACACCAGGAGCCCCATCAGCCCCAGGAGGACAGAGGCAAACCAGGGAAGAACCCCCCGGTGCTGCATGTTCCCTCAGCCCAAGTTGTGTAGCACAGCAGGAGAGAAAAAAAAAGGGGGGGGGGAGAAAATCCTGCAGCAACGCACTGCACTCAGTCACTCACTCTCTGATCAGTATTTATCTCTTGACACACCAAACAAACTGATTGCTCCCAGCTTGCTCTTCCCCTTTCTTCTTCTCCTTGTCTCCTCTGCTCTCCCTCTGCCCTCCTTGCCTCCTCCCACATAGAGTCCTCACATTGAAGAGCAAGTAAGGACAGCCCCTCGCTCCTTCTTTGTCTCTCTCTCCTCCTCCAACAGCTGCTTCTCTCCCTCTCTCTTTCCCCATTGAGTCCTTGTCAAGTACATGCTACTTGCTTTATTGCTGCCTCGAATGCCTCTGCCTCAAGTAGCCTGCCCCGCAGGACCCTCGGCTTGCTGAGCACACAATCTGAATTTCATCCTGTCTCTGAGAGACTCATTTACTATCCTTTCCTTTGTCTCTCGCTCCAGTATGCTTCCACACTGCCTGCCTGCCTGGGAAAGAGGGGTTGTTTCCACGGCATTGCTCTCTCCAAGCCCTGCAGCTCTCAATCATCCATTCATTAACTCTTAAGTCAACACACAACCTCTGTGTGTGAGTTCTTCTCTGTGTCTATGTGTGTGTGGGTGGGTGAAGGCGAGAGAGGAGGGAGTCTTTCGCAATCTTTGGACAGGCCTTGGTTGGTTTGAAATGAAAATTGGTTTCTTCTGAAACATTCATACACATGCACAAAACAACTTGTTCCAACCCTTCTGACCCCCAGGCCTCCAACACACACACATACACGGAAGACATTGCAAGAGGTGCTGTCAGTCAGACCTTCCGGCTAAAAGACCTTTTGGCTTAGAAAAGTTGTGCAACAGTTTACGAAACTTAATTAAAACAGAACAGTTACAAAAAAAAAAAAACTCCAGGATGATTGAGCAACTGACAAGGATTTTAAGGAAGAAAAAAAGCCAGTGGAGAGATAAACAGGACAACAGGAAGAACCCTTTAATAAAAACCATCAATATAGGTCTACTGAAACATTTTCTGTCAGTGCGTCTGCGTTTATCGGCCCAGTCGTTCACTGAGACCAAATTTTAACTGTGAATGTACCCTGTTAGGCAACTACAACAATATCGACATTATAACAGACAACTGACTGAAACGGAAAACCTTAAACTAACATGGGCAAAATATCTTCGAATCATCTTTGAATCTGCAACCCCTGGAGTAGAAAACAACGTGACAAACAATTAAACAATTGGAATCGAATAACACCTCATTTTCCGACTGGCTGCTATTATCCCTGCCCCCTCTTCCACACTGTCTTACCATGACGAACATTAAAAATATGCATTCGACGTTTATATTAATTTAAAGCAACAAAAAACGTTAATGCGACATACTCAACGGGCAACTAGTTGTCAGACATTGCCACCTCGTGTATAAATGTGGTATGAACGCTATTATATTGTCAGTGCTGCCACACTGAGAAAAAAGGGGGTAGCCCCCCCCAAAAACAAAAATGCTCCCCATATGCTTCTCATTCTTGAGAAACTACATTACCCACTAGTTTTTGTTTACTGTTTGTTTCTCGAACAGAAAAAACGTAAAAAAAAAACCCCGAAAAAAAGCAAAAACAAAAATGCTCCCCATATGCTTCTCATTCTTGAGAAACTACATTACCCACTAATTAGGTTGACTGCTTCCGTTTACTTCTAGAAGCAATTCTGAGGGGTTCGTTCAAAGCCAGCCACTAGAGGTCCTCCTTGCTTAATTATTCTAGTGTGACTCATTTGCTGCTGTGAACATGTGGAGACTCAATATTTGTCAGGTAAAATGTATTAAATTGAACTTAATGTTTGGAAAATATTATCAGACCTCGTGGTTTCTGCGTCGTTACACCTACAGCGTCAATGTAACCTCCATTGCTAGACGATAATATAGGAAGGATAAAACTGGTTGTGTTGTTTATAAAAGCTCGGAAATGTGTGGTGTTGACCCTTCAAACATTAAGATTCTGGGGGCGACTTTTGGCAGTGATATGAAACAGATAGAATATGTCATTAAAAGCCAGCTTTGTTTGAGCTTTGCCTATGGGCCGAGGTCAAATTGTATTGGGTTTTTTTTGTTTGTTTGTTTGTTTTTTTGTATTCAGGTTTTTATTTCCTTTTTGCCTTGAAAATATAAATATATTATTATAATATATTATATAATATATTTGTTCAATACCAATGCGTTTATATTTGATCTCTCTTCTTCTTGTTTCATTTTATTTTTTGAGACTAGGTCTGTTCTGTTTGTACAGATTAATTGCGAAACACTGTCTTAACCCATAACATTAGTGAGCAGAGAACACTTAACTTCCACCACCATCGGTATAACTGTTTGTGCAGTATAGGAGTATCAGATTGTATCAGATTGAAGTTAATATCAGACATCTCTAACAATATTGCCTTTCAAATATATTTTGAAATGACATTGTGAAATTGCCCTTGCTCTGCATTGTAAGAAACAATAAAAATCAATTGATTACTCCAGTATACTCTGTTCATGAATGACAAACAGATCTCTTGGTAATCAGGTAGGCTTTAATATATATATCATTATTGTACAGTGATATAAGTATTTAAAGCTAACACTGTTTATAGACTGGACAATGCTGACATCCATATTGTATTGTGTGTTACAAAAGTCTGTTGATAAGCAATCATGAACACAGTAGAACCTGAGCTTTCGTCCCAGACACTCCATGAGTATTTTTAGGCTTTCCTACTGTGTTCACAAACATATATATATCGCTCATTAGAATTAAAGGGACATGTGGCAGACACGGAATGATTTTTTAAATGTTGTCCTACTGTACCTCCAGTGTTCTAACTAGGAATGTTGATTTCTGAGCAAAGAGCTGCAGTAAAGAGATGCAAGGTGGTTAATTTCATGTTAATGTGACAAAATGGTCCTTTATGCTACTAGAGCTGGTCTGGCAGTGTAGTTTGGGTTATATCCTGTGATACTGTCTGTGCTACTGTGTTGATTGAAACAAGCTATATAAGGTGTCAGTCTAAACCCCTAAAGCCCAACATTATACTCCATAGATCAATTCTGATACAACAGTGATGCAAATACAGTAAAGTCTCTAAACTTTTACTTAAGAGAAAAATGTTGCTACTCACTTGCTAATTAGTTACCCTTGATTTAAGCCTCGGAAGTTACTTGTGAGAGTCAAATTTTTAATTTTAATATCACACATTTACTTAAGAAGTTTATGGTTCCAGTCTTCTTCAAAAGAACATGATGTTAAATTTATAAAATAAAATCCCATTTAGTTAAAAAAAAATAGGTAAAGCATTATTAGAAACTACTGAATAGAAATTATGAATGGAAGTCATTCTCAATTTGAACCCATTTTTTGGAACCACTAACTGAAGGGACGCCATTCACATGCAGTTACTTTTGAAACCTCTCACATATACTGTAGTTTCATCACACTGCATTGTGTTCCTTTGTCTGTAAATATATTCCAATAGTCACAGACGCTCAGAGCTCTGTCCTATCTTAAACCTCTAACAGAGTGGTTACAGTTTAGAGGCAGGAAGTGCTTTTTGTGCTTCCATCTAAAGCAGTGGTGAGTCACTGGTTCCTGTTGTAAATGAGACAATCTTACATTATACATTATGTACAGTACGTCAGCACCCGTGTGGAACTCATGTTGAAAGGGTTGTGCGTACACACCGCACAGCAGGATATAAACATTCAGTGTGTTCCAGCTGAGGTTTAACACAAGGTGCTGTGATATTGTCCGCAGTGAGATCCAGCCAGAACAAGATTCCTATTAAACATTCATACATTTATGCATACTATGTTAAAGCAGAGGTTCAGACCAGGATGGACAGTAAAAGATAGCAAAAAGTGGCGAGTCAGTGGTTAGTACTGTGAAGTGTATGTTCCTACAGCACACATTTACCAGAAGGAATCAACAGTCGAGTGTTCGCTACTATTAATCATAATGTTTAGGTATCTATTGCAGTATTACTGACACACTCAGAGAGAGAGGTGAGAGAGTTATTGAAAATGCTCATTAAAAGTTGTTTTGATAAAAAAAAATAACAGTTTACAAGATTTACTTCTAAATTTAAACAAAATAATGAAGTAAATAATTACATTATCTATTTATTATAGGATGTTTTAACCGTTGTTTTTAGATCTTGACTAAATCTTAATATAAATTGCAAAGTAAAATGACGGTTCCATTATTCTAATTGCAAAGTGGAGCTTGGTTATTCATGAATAAAATAAAATAAGGACCTCTTTCAGGGAAAAGCACAATAACAGTCAACTAGTGGCAGGAAAAGGAGAATTCAAACTTACGACTCTTTAGTTCAAGGCTCAGAGTTCAGCAAGAGAAAACAAAGGGGATAAAAATGAACAATGGACTGACCGCTTGAAGATAAAAATACAAACAGGGAGAAAAACAGCAGGCGGAAGACGATGTTTTTGTCGAGTGGACAGGACACAGTGTAAGGAAGAGAGGACAGCAGAGAGATTCGAGTCAAACTCCTGAAGATCTGGAAACAGAAGAGGAAAAGGGAGAAGATGAGGACTTTAGAGAGCATAAGTATTATTAAAAACGATACAGAGATCAGCTGACAGCTGCCCACATCACAGTCCTGTGTCTGGGTTTAGTCACCATGTCACTAGTCATCATAGTCATTTATAGAAAAAAAAAAAGAAAAAGAAAAATCAAGTCAAAGCCAAGTGATGATTGATTTGAAGACATTAAACTAACGGTAAATCAATAAACCAAACGGTCAAAGCCAAGTGATGACCTTGATTTGAAGACATTCAACTAACGGTAAATCAATAAACCAAACGACTACGATAATACGTTCAACTTTTATTATTGTTCTGAAGTGAAAACTGCAGCTTTATCTCTCGACTATAGAAACGCACATTACAAACAGTACAATTGACCATGATATAAAATGTCTTTATTAGCTGCTGCACACATTAATATAAAGTGAATAATATGTTGGTTTAAATCATGACCTGGAATAAGTCTTCGGTATATAAATGTGTTCTGTGGACTTTCACTCGTCATTGCACAATAAACATGGTGTAAATGTGTAGAGATGTCGTTTGAAGACTTGTGTGGCATTCACAGACACAGATCGTTTGCTACTGAGCCTCTGTGTCAGGATTGAAAGGTGGGGTCGTACCTTCCTCTTCGGATGTTTCTGGATCCGCAGTGAAGCACGAACGAGATGGAGGGAGAAGAAAGGAGAAAGAAATGCAGGAGAAGTGAAGTAAAATGTAACATTTATGTGATAGTTTTATTGTTTTGTTTTTTTTTAGTGAGACAAAGTTTAGTTTAGTTAACATGCAATAAACCCAACGACAAGGGCTCAGCAATGCAATTCAGAAGCCTTTAAAGTAACAGTTCATGGTAATCTGAACTATCGCTTTAAAATTTAGTAGCAAAGGTCTGACGCTTTCATACAAGATGTTGTAGCTAAAAAGAAAAAGCCATATTTACAGATATGCATGCTGCAGGCATGTCACAGCAAAGTTGACATGAAGGCAGAGAGAACATTGTTGAGAGCGATTCAAAGATGAGAAAAACAACCTGGAGTCAGATCAGCTGCACAGAGATGAATAGATAAAAAGAGCAAAACAGACCCGATCTACTGTGGAAAAGAATTCCACTGTGGGGGAATCCGTCAAGTCTGGGCATAAAAGAACATTTTCTTTTGGTTTTTAACAAACACAACCCGAAAAATTGGTTGTTAGGATTAAATCCATGTAAAATAGACACATGCGTACGATCAGATAGAAGAGCGCTGAAATTTCCAAAGGTCTCATGGTTGTGATAAATTTGCTTCAGTGTACTGACCAATGAATGTCCAGTTCCTTTTTTAAAAATCTTAATCAAATAAAAGACAATCATTTTTGGTGCCCTGCCACAAGTCAACCATGCACAGTTCAACTGAACTGAGTAGGTAACACTAACTGACGTACAGACTGTAAAGGTAAAAACATACATGCTGCTGAAGGAGCACCTCCTACAGCAGCTCCAGCCACTTAAGCAATAAATAATAAACAGGAAACCCACACTGCAGTCTCTGGTGGTGCGTGTATGGATCAGGCAGCAAGCAGGGGGGAGCATTCAGCAGCGAGCCGCAGGCATGTGTGCACACACAGACAAAGGCATGCCAAAGCGCTTACTTAAATCCCCAGCCAGTTCCCCCCAGGACTATTGCTGCCAGCAGGATTGCACCGGCAACCGAGCCTATTATAATATTGGTGCCGCTGGGACCTGTGGAAGGAAAAGATTCTGGATGTGAGGGCAGGGTGTGTGTGACGCTGCTGAGGTGACAAACAGAAAAAACAAACTACTCAAAAATGCTGAATCATTTTGAAGTGTGGGACAAGGTAGGCAGGTAGATGGACTTATACGTTTCAAACACTTTTACCTTTGTATTTCTCCGGTCCCTCTGGTGGGGTGGGAATGGGGATGGGGTCAAAGACACTACAGTCTTTCCCAGTATAGTCTGGATCACAGATACACTTCACCTCGTTACTGCACGTCTAAGCACAGAGAGGAGAAAGGTGAGAGGACTCTTCCGCCAGCACAGCAAGAGTAGGAAGACAGAAGTGCGACTTACTCCGTGATGGGAACAGATCCGTGAGGTGGAGGAACCCGGACAGATGCTGAGGTTGAAGGTGGTCACAGGGAGGCATCGGCGCTCCAGGCACATCATGTTTGGCCCGCAGGGAGTCCCATCCTCTACGTAACCCAGGTCCAAACCATCATCGAGCACGGCATGACCTCCCCTTTTGGCACCACACACAGGAGTTGTTTTCTTTTGCATGTACAGTACTACAGTAATATATACAATACATTTTTATTTTGTCAAAACCCATCAAATGATAAGGTAACGTCTGCCTCACGTGCAGTCCAGATATCGGTTCTGATGGTGGATGGTCAGACTCGTGAGCTTCCCCTGTAGCTCGCCAAACCTCGGCCTTTCAGTCATGTTCGTACAGAGCAGCAGACCACACAAGACGTCTCTGAAATTTGGACAGGAGAAAAAAATAAATACATGGAAAGTGATAGGAGATTAAAGAAAAAATGGCCGGTACTGTTTACTCACTGCTTGCTGCACGGCATCCATCCCTGACCAGAGACTTCGGCGCCGCAGTTTCCCTTCTCCGTACCCTCAGAGTTCAGCTTCTCGTAGCAGAACCTGTCAGCCGAGTCTGAGGAAACAGACGTCAGGCTCAGACACTGGAAAGTAAATGTGGCTGTAGGTTTTCTTCTATGTATTGTCTAATAATCAATGTGTGATATGGAGGAGAGAGAGTTGACTTTGACCTTTAGACTAGGGACGTCTTCACCTTTTTGACCTTGAGGCCCAATTTTTAAAGCCAAATTTGATGAAGTGGGATTTGTACTTACGTAAAGATAAAAAAAATCTTGAGGTTGGTCTGCTCAACATCCGTCCTCATTTTACATTTAATAGCTCTTCCGTACTTTATGCTACAGCTAGCACCCTCTAATGAGCAGTGACCCAACCAGTGGCATCAAAATGAGGCTTGTCACTGACAATGATACTCAGCACTGAATGCAAACCTACTGTAGCCCCATAGCGTCATGCACTGGCCATCTCTGGTCTTACAGCGTCCTCCGTAACAACGACCCTGAGGATGAAGAACACGATGCTGACATAAAGGGAGGAACGGTTTTCTTACAAGCAAAGCCAAAGAGAGCCCGACCTTACCTGACCGGCCTCGCACATGTAGCCGTCCAGTTTGTGGACATTATGAGGACACTGCAGGGGGAAGGAAGAGGAGGAGACCAGTGAAGATCGAAGATTTGACCTACATGTACTCAAGTTCGCTGTCTTTTCTTTGTTACCTGGCTGGAGTCTCCTGTGCAGGTCTCAGCAATGTCACAGTCGTTGACAGTTTCACGACACGTCACCCCTCGCAGCTCGTACTGCCACCATCACACGGACAGGGGTTAGGAGAAAAACACAGGCTCAGATATGCTGTATCTGAAGTGGTCATTAGTGTAGGAGGAAAACGGTGGTTCACCTTGCAGTCCCTGCAGCAAAGCCCGTTGCTACACATGGCATTGTGGGTAAGTGTACACTTCTTGCAGCAGTTAGCTCCATTCCTTGCACATTCCTAGAGCACAATTTGGATTATATTAACAGATGAAAGTGACCCTCCCCCTGTATGTACAGCTACTGTTGGGATTACTTACTATCAGTGATCCACAGTCACACTCCTCTCCCAGCTCCACATAGCCATTACCACACTCCGGTGGATCTAAGAGCTGTCGATTAAAAAAAAGAAATGAGGAAGATTACATTAATACATATACAAACAACAAGTGTTCTGCACAGAAATAACAGTCTTCATTTTTACTTAACGTTCCTGAAGGAGAAAAACACTCTCTTTTCCTTTTGTTCATGTTGCTGCATATTTTCCTCTGCATTTAACCTTGAAGTGAGTCAGGAACAGTGGGCAGGGTAGAATTTGGCGCTCGCCTAACACGCCACAGCCGGTTATTTCCGGTCATAGGATTCAAACGGGCAATCCTGCCATCACAAACTCATAAAATGGTCACTGACCAACTCTCACCTTGCTGGGTTTGTTGAAGAGGCAGCTGCCTCCCCCCTGCTGGAGGAAGCGCAGGTACTCGTCTATACTGCAGCGGGAAAACTTTCGTGGCAGGTAGTAGCTGATGTGAGACAAAATAATGAAAAATTCTTAAATGACTCTTTAAAATTCAGAGAGGAGGATACATCTTTCTATAGAATCATGAGAATTGTAATCAGTTAAGGAGACTGAGGAAATACCCAGTATCTTCCATGATGCAGCCGAGCCACGGGTCTGGACACCTGCAGTCTCCTAAACGAACACAACATGTCCATTATTATTATTGCTATTAATGAAGTGGCAGATCATCCGCTGTGAAAATGATCTAGTCTTTTATGCATGTGTGTTTTAACAGGAACAGTGGGTTTCAAGCATCCATTCAACAGAAACAACAATGTCATACAATAAGTCTTGTTTAACAGAAAAAAAAAGTGAACTGTTCCTTTAAGTACAGAGTAGTTTGATTTTACCTGCAGCTGGTCGTTCTTTGTTCCTCAACATGCCAATGTTCTGACCAAGACTTTGACACAACGTGATGGCCATCGGGCCGACACTGCCGAACTTAATTTGGAAATAAAAAAACAAAACAGTGTTTAGATGAAAAAACAAGAACTCTGATTGGATACTGTGAAGACGGCTGGACTAGAATGAGGTAGGATACAAAGTCATTATGAAGACAACAGTGTATTTTGCATTCAAGACGACCGAAATATTCAGCTTACTTTATTTTGTTCTGAAACTCTTGTTAGAGAAAACATGGTGCGTATGCCGCATCTGTCTCACCTCATTGATGCCTCCCCCCCTGGTGAGCGAGCAGATGCCACCGATGTAGGCCGCCTCACTGCGGCTGCTCATGAACGTCCTACCGCTTCAGAAAGACAGGCAGAATTGTTACAACAAGCACAGACCAATCAGAGAAGACAGGAAGTAGAAGAGAAAATAACAAGTTCAAATAAAAACTAAATAAACTTGTGGGGTCTTTAATGATCCAGTCTGTGTTTATCTTTAGCGTTGTGAGCTAGGGGATTATAAAGGTGTTTATTATGATGTCAGTATTCAAATTTTAAGGAAAGGATTAATGTGATGTCCAAGCTTTTAAGATGCTAAAAGTCGTACGAGAAGAGGTGCACAGCATCGCAGCGCTCCTTCATGCTCTCCCTCCTGTACTTCATGAAGTCCCGCAGCGTGAGGAGCGCGTCGTCGCCGACGGAGATCCTGTTCTCAGACGACCAGGTTTCCATGGCGACCAGGACTATGCGAGTGTTGAGCTGCTCCTTATAGATCTGGACACATCAAAGAGGAGCATCACCCACATGAATAATGCAGCAGGAGAGGAGGCGGAGCCAAAAACAGAGAGCACAGGTCTCATCTGCTGAATCAAAGCAGGGCAGGAAACTGACCTCAAGTCAAGAGGGGAAAAATGATGATGTGATATGTATGTGCTTGTGTTCTTTCCTCACTAACTTTTTATGATCAGCCAACTTTTCTCTGTTAAATCAGAAAATCTCTCATACTTTTAACGTCAATAAACTTGTTTACCAATTAATTCCAGATGTTCTCCTAAAATACCATATCTAAAATAATCCGATCAGAAAAGTCCTGTTCACTTATAGTAAATGTTTACAATTTAGAACATTGTCTGCTTCATCCTATCTCACGCTAATCCTCCAGTCAAAACACTGTTGCGATCTCCTGTACATCACTGTAATTAAAATCCCCATCGTAATGCAGAGAACAAATATTACGCTTCATCCCGTAATCGTAATGCAGAAAACAAATATTACGCTTCTGTCTGAGAATTTTTCCTTGTAAGAAGAATCTGTGACACCAGGTGACAACCTGCTTGTTTGTCTAAAGCACTGATTTCCATTTAAAAAAAGATCACAATCAATCAAAAATGGAGACGACTAGCGAAAAAGGGAATACTCACCTACATCTACAAAATGTACCAGGTCAAATTACTCATCTGCCGCAGGAAACATCCAACTGCGTTGGAGAGTTTTCACTGAGCTCAACATAATCTCAAGAATAGATTTGCATGATGGGTTGCCATGGTTACCAGACAGATGACAGGAAGGGGTCAATCTCGGTCAGCCCTGGAATCACCCTTGTGTCTGAATTCACTGTTACGTTCTCTGTCTCACACTCACTGTCAACTCTAGGCATTTCTATTTTTATAAACACACCCATAGAAATTGTCGGTGTGTTTATAAAATTTTTTTTTTTTCACTCAAAATGTATAAATCATTTAAATTTGAAAAAAGTTATAAAGGTTAAACATAGTCATAACGTTGGAGAGACGGCATTAAGAAGCGCGAGCGTTCGCTATTGCCCACTAGATGGCGCTGCAGACGCTTGAGTTTTCACCAGTTTCATTGGTGTTTATTGTTTTGTGTGAACTTATATGTATATTTCGAGCAGTGTTTCTCTAGAAGGACATGTCTTTTTTTGCTCGATATACTACTAGTGATATGAGTGCCATATAAAGGCAATAGTAAAACAAGACAATAAATATAACAAAAAGAAGAACTACTCACTGCGTCAGCCATGTTTACCACTGCTTTGGCAAAGTTCTTTGTCTGTGTGGTTGAACGACGAAGCTGCACAAACTAAACGTAGGATTTATGAAAAAAACAAACAAATCAGAAGACATATAACATTAAGTTAGTTTAAATTGAATATTTTTTCCTTTTTGAATGTAAAAAAGGGTCACACGTCGCCTACCAGTTCATGGTCATTCACCACCATCAGCTCGATGTACTTGGTCTCAGTCTGGACTGTGCGCTGACCTCGTCGGACCTGAAGGAGAAGGAGGCGAACGCTTGAGTGCTTTCACTGCTGTAATAACCTGTACACAGGACATACAGTCACCCGGCAGTGGAACCATTACTCACACACAGACACCAACATGTGCAGGTGCTGGTGAAATACTAGTCATTGTCCTTGAGAAGGCGATGCCACTTGAAGACCTAATTTATGGAAGGGGAAGATTGTTCTGCAGCTAAAATAAACAAACCTTGGGAAGGACATTTAGTCTGCAGTTACTATTTTCCTTCCTTTGTTTTGTTGTGACACAGACTTCCAGCCAACCATATCAACTCAGTCTGGGGTTTTCTTTCATTAGCAGGATTCCGGGTCAAACCCTAACAACTTTGACACAAATGTTTTCCAGTGGCTTAGACCTAAATCATCTCTATGTGAGTTTAACAAGAACACAGAAATACTTACAGAATTTCTATAACAACCTGTATGACCTAAACCCTTGCAACTGGTGCATACTGCATCGTGATTAGCATCAGATACATTTTCAGCAGTGGAGTGGCCTGGCGACGTGTTACGGAGAGTAAATGTTTCTGCTCTAAAAGATCATTTTCAAACTCGTTCAAATTTCCCTCAATTCCTAATTATATAAAATGATGGTATCATTAGAGTATAACTGTCCTAAAAATTATTTCTTGCTTCATCGATTTAGAGAGTGGTATTGACTGTCATTGGTGTAACAGCCAAAATAGGCTCCGAGCAGTTATTTAAATCCCTCCTGCAGGAGATGATGTGCTTAGAAAAGTACATGCAGGTTTGTTGGAAGACTGACTTGTCTTTTTGAGCGTCTCAGTGGACCTGTGACAATTTCCGACCAGACATCTCCTTCATTCCCCTCTCCGTCTCCTTCACCGTGGCCATCTGGCTGACCCTCGGGTCGTGTGCTGTTCATGGAACACCCTGGAACACACACACACACACACGTACATAAATGGGGACAGACCAAGTATGTTAGAGTCAGAGAGAAAAGTGGCCAGTCATCAGCGCAGGGATGGATGTAATCATGTATTTTAGTCCACAGTGGTGAAGGAGAAATCAATATCACACTGCTACCGGAGAGGAGGATAGAGGAGCGCATAACAGGCTAAATAAGAAGAGTGAGTCTGGGAAGAAGAGAGAGAGAGAGAAAGAGAGAGAGAGGAGGCAGGAAAAAAAAGTTTTACGAGATTAGGTAACAGGAAGAAAGGAGAAGGTTGAATGGAGAAAGTGTCTGGGACACAGAGGAGAGACAGAAGAGATGAAGCCAAATGAGACATTTAACAAGGGTGAGAAGGGCAGTCAGACAACCTGAGGAGGACACTGTAGTCTGTGGTGTCTGTGTGAGTGTGTCTGTCCCACAAGTCTACACACACACACAGACACAAAATAAAGCTTTTTTTATAAGATCTTTAAACTGAAGTTTTTTTTTATGATGATATCTTAGCTGGAATTGTACAGGAACCATTGACTATCACAGCAAACATGTTAGATTTGTTATTATGTAGAGAGGAGTTCCTACCTGGACATGGAGGCTGGTAGAGAACAACTCCTGGCATGCGATGTACAATGTGGTCATTAGTCTCCTGCTGGGTAGAAATTAGGAATTAGGAAGTGGTATATAAAATCTAATGAATAACCTTATTTCAAAACATGGCAAGTAAGAACAAAGTCTTAGCTGGACTCACATATATAAATATAATAAATTATTCAGGTCAGTTCTTGTTTTTCAAATCTACATGTGGAACAGCCTGCTGTCTGCTAAATCGATTAAAGGGGCGATAAAATACGATTGCTCTGACTGTTCCCAAAATTGCTCTGTTTTTAACTAAGTAGGTTAACATGAACTGATTTGATGGTGCAGCACATTTCAGCACTGCTTTTCACAATTCTCTGTGTATTTTCCCCCTCATGCGATCAACGCTTGTAGCACAATTACATTCCTGATCGTGAGCTTAAAAGCTTCTTTTTCTTTTTTTTTCTTGCGTGTTTTCTGAGGTACAGACAGATCACTTTTTTTCTTGCAGCGTGTTTTCTGAGGTACAGACAGATCAACGTGGAGACAAAATGCTCTGATAAATAATGAATAAATCACTGCCTTGTCATAATGGCAGGACGACTACTGGACACTGTGGTTCAGTCTAGCGGAGGATAAATACTTTATGGAAATGACCAATCTGAGATAGAGACCGGAGGAGAGAGGAGCAAAGTGAGAGAGTTTGTAGTTGAGCTGGGAGGCTATTGATCCACTATTCCAGTCCATGTAATGGAGCTGTTCTTCGATGCCTATCAGTCCCTATCAGTGAAAATAAAAAAGGTTTGCCCACGACCACTGGGTTATATGTGCAATATTCCAACATTTCCTAATACTCAAACAGACTTTTTAAATATCATATATTTGTTTCTTAGTTGATACACAGTAGTGTTAAAGATGGCTGACAATGAAAGAAACCTAAGTGTGCCTCCGACGCATGAACTCACGTTTTCACAGATAACTGTCCGACGCATGAACTCACGTTTTCACAGTGAACAGGTTCAATCACGTAGGAGTAGTTCCCGTCAGAAAACATTCCCCTGAAAATAGAAAAAGGTGGCGGTAGATTCCAACATTATATAGGATACTGTATTGTATTAATCTGGAAAACAGTGTATTGTATGGTATATAACATTGTGATCTTTATCATTTCAAGTGCACAATTACAATATGTGTTAATCTTTGTTTTAACAGGTATTGAAAAATGTATGTCGTTACACATCTATTTTTTACAATCAAAGAGAGAAAATGTTATTCAGTCACTTAGTTCAAAAGATACATTTTAATAAGAAACAAACCCAGAGATTGTTGTGTCGGTTTCTAATAATTTAAATATAAACTCACCGTAGGCAGTGGCAGGTGGACAGCGCAGCCCAGGAGCCGGGCAGACCCCGTACTTGCCCGTGGTAGTAACAGTGCTCTCCCCCCTGCACAAACGTGATAGAATAAGAATAAGAATGGATTCTTCACATCAACATCGTGTTCAGTGGTCTTAATTATAACTAAAGGTAACAAGTGTTACAAAAGAGGGGGCTATCCCATATCAAGGTTAAGCAACTGTCTCTGTGTGTGTGAACAGGCCTGAAGGCAGCAAGTCCAGATCCCCAGTCACTTTTGAACATGGCGGACTACACTCACACGGGGATGAAAGACTAGCATTCTGGGAACTCTGGAATAGCAGCTACCACCACAGGACGAGGTGACCGAGTGGTTAAGGTGATGGACTGCTAATCCATTGTGCTCTGCACGCGTGGGTTCGAATCCCATCCTCGTCGTACCTATTGGCAAATATTTTCCCGCAACAGTTAAAACGACCAAAAACAATGTCTCTACCTGTCTTAAATAAGTGAACATAAAATTTGATATTAAATATTTAACTCATATAAAAGACCACGTCACAACATATGATGTAATGTGAAACAAATATATACATACAGACACATATAAATGTAAATACAAAGGCCATTTAGAATTAGCATTTTTGTTAAATAATTTTAATAAGCTACATTTATTTTGAATTTTAAAATGTGTTTTGAATACAAATAGAAAAAACAATAAATACACAAATGTAATAATACTGACAAATATATAATAATTTTATTTAAAAAAGTGTATTCGTGGGAAATATAATGCAAGTGAGCTCTCTAGGGACCAATCAGAGTTGCAAAAAAAAACTTTTAAAGAGCACAGGATTTTGAACTACATTTGAAAAGACCCAAAAATAAAAATCAATGGACGAAAAACTGAGACATCCGGGCATTGGCTTTTATACTTCCCAGCATGCAATGTGATAGTATCTGTCCCTGGAGTCAAAGGAAATTCAATGTTTTAACTTTGTTCAACAACCAAGCCTTGTCCATGGATTGCACTGTTACTAGGTTTTACATTGTGAATTTATGTTACTAGAAGGGGATAAAAATAGTACGTGTGAATGTTGTGTTAATACAGGCTGACACTCCAAGTGTAGCAGCGCTGCTGTAAGGCACCACCTGTACGTTGTCGTCCAGATACCCTGAGCTGATTATTCAGGGTCCCTTGAAAGGCTCCTCTTGCCTGATCATGTTTGTATATAGTGTTTCCACACGGGCTCGCTCAGTACTGGAATGATCAGATTACCGCCGTCTGAGAGGAGACTCTCTACTGTCAGTCATTACAGATGTGAGCTACAGTATCAGTAGCCGAGAAGAATCAAATAAATTCTGCATCAATGTAGAAGATATCGCGGCCAGGGGAGAGGTTTAAGAAGGAATTTAAATAATTAATGGTTACATGGTGAAGCTGCAGTCAGAGCAGCAGGTTCGCAAGTGTGTGTGTGTGTGAGGGTCAATTTCAAGATTTTGTAATGAACCCCAATAGTGTCAGGTCTGCCACCTGAGACCACAGTCATCTGGCAGAACCAAGCTACAAAAAACAAAACAAGCGACAGCGATTGGCTTAGATGATTTTGGTCATCTATGTGAAACAATGACAAAACGAAGTCATTCTGAAGGAATTTTAACACTTGACACATGTTGTGGTCTGCACAGTGATTTTTGCAGTTTGACATCAGGTGACCTTCAGGACACAACCCAACCTGGGAATTAAGGGACTTGCCTTCTGTTGGAATGTGGGCGAACCCACCCCTGCACAACCCATGTACAATTTTAAAGATGTCCTCCAGTTGGCTGAGATTTTTGCAAATGTCAACTAAAAGGTAACAGAAAAATCCAATCCCTTTGCTCACTATTTTAAAAAGTGTATTTGTATTCACGATCTATTCGACTTTCATTTTTTTCATATCGCCCAGTTGGATGGCTCACAGCACTTAGCTCCAAGCAAGCTCATAAATAAATAAAAAAATAGGATTCCAAGACTTAATCGAGGAAATCAAAAGGCCTGACACTGCAGACACACCGACTTAGAGACTCTCAGATGAAAGTTGGACGTCATTGAACATCATCATTACTACAGGAGGGGGGGGGGCTCCACCTTTGGAGTAAGGAACCAGGAACCAAACAAATAAAGAAATAAAAAACATTACTTGGATGCTCTCAGTAAAATGATTTACAATTACAATACAATCCCAGTAGGTTGCAGTAATAACATTTGATGAATGTTCACAAAAGATAGAGGAAATGTATTCAAAAAAAGAATCCATATGAGCAAACAGACGTACTGTAATATATCCCCATCAACATGCCATAACGTTGAATATAATACAAATATTTGCCTAATCCAAAGCACTATTCTTTGTCCATTGTGAGCCTCATTTTAACTCCAAACTAAATTATAAACTTCAAAAAAAATTTTTTTTAATGCCCCCACAAATATGCCCTCCCCCCACGCTCTCATGTACACACATTTGTTCCCTCGAGATCCCACACTTTTGATAGTCTTCTAGTTCCTGGTTTAGACCCTGGTCTTCAATTCACTCCATGTATTTTCTTGGTGACGTAAATCAAGGTTTCGTGCCCTCTCCCCAGTAACATTTACTCTGGCCTTGTGGATGGAGCTCTTCGTGATTATTTAGCAACAATAACACTTTGGCTACAGGGCTCACACAGAGGTGGTGGTTGTCCGACTCTGAAGGACTTTTTCTGTTTTTTCTTCCAGGACATGTACGTTGTTCAAATTCCTCTCACGACAAGATAAAATAAACCCACGATGACTGGTACTGCTGACTTCTGGTTACCTTGGCAACCTTCCACTGATTGGTCATGTGCTCTGTGATAGGCAGAACGGCAGTGAAATGGAGAAACAGAAAGAGACGGAAACAAGGCAATACCCTTTTAGACATGCCATTGACTTGTTTGTTTCCATCAGCTAAAAACATCGATTTTTCTCTCTGGAATTCGCTACAGATTGAGACAATGAGTCCACTAGGAAATCTGCAGAGATTAAAATCTGCTATTCCCGTTGTCACTTAGCGGACAGTTATGTTTTCGGTAAGATAGAGCATCAGTGTCTTAGGGCTGGTTCTCAGTAGAGCGTAGTCACAGAGAACGGTGAGCACTCAGTAGCCATGAGTAACAGTACAACCTAAACAATCACTCCGAGGCAGCCAAGGAACAAAGAACAGGAGAAGAAGAAAAACATTCTTCTCTTTAAAACAGCCTTACCATAATCTCAGATAGCTGCCCGTCCTCCTCATAGTGCCGCTCAACATAGTCTGTAGACAGGAGACCACTAAAGAGCAGAGGAAATCAGAGTTCAATACTTAATGTTCAGTAAAAGCACAACCACAGCGCTGGGCGACTAAATCATACAGAGCCATGACTGCAGAAGGTTTAACAGGGCTCTGTATGCAATTCATAGCATTCCAGCTACTGTATCTCCACATCTGTGGTGTGGATGTGCCAACTTACTGGTTGAGTTCAAGGTCGAGGATGAAGGAAGTGTTAAAAGCCTCCACTAGAAAGCTGCACTGGGCCAGATGGACAGGCTGAGGAAGAAATGGAAGAAATAATAATTATTATTATAAAGAATGGTTATTACACTTACCTAAAAATACACTTCAATATGTATAAATATGTAAAATGTCTTAAAAAAAAATTAGTCAAAAGGGATTTTTCAGATTATATACCATCAAGCAACATTCACTAATTTTCAAAAATAAAAAAAAAATATTTTAGAAGCTATGAATATTTAAAGCGCTCTCGCAGCGTTTACTCTCCCTGCTGTTAAGAATTCTTCTCAGACTATTTTGTGCAGTCGCGTTACGACATTGAAAATGTTAACCTCTCCGTGCTAATTTAGTCCACGCAACACATCTAAAGCTTACTTTGAGACTAACACTTTGTGCTTATCAAATTTATATTCCTGCAGCGACGGTCCCAGTCGGTGACTCAGTGAAGTGACTCACCACTTTGTCAAGAATTTCACGCTTTAATGCAACTGTGAAAGACACTTAGTGAAAAAGGTGACAGACAAAGATCAGGAGAGAGTGCAGGAAGGAAGTAACTAATGGATGTTCAATGTGGAAAAATGTAACAGTGTGTATAAAGGGACAAAGCAACAAAACTTGGACTGATAAGGAAAGTCCTTCAGCAGTGACCTTTTCCAGAAGGCGGCTCAGGCTGACTCATATATCCCACAGGCTTTCTGGATTTAGAGTTTTGCCAGGGCTCGCTGGCTTTTTTAACCTTACCCCAAGGTGAGCCCTTCCGTATTGTTATGCTGTGATGGACGTCTGGTGGGCCTCCCATCAGTGGGCTGATCACTAGCTAGCAGCGAGACGGCTCTCGTTGGCATAACCAAGGACTCTCTGTCAACCTCGGTTTGCTTGGTCAGTTTAAAATGTTATATTTTGAGTTTTTTAACATCGAGACTGGACTTTTAAAAAATTATTTTGCAATCCTTTTACCACACTATTGTTATGATGCAATCCTCTCAAGGCATCATGGATGTGATAATGATGCAGAACATTGTTCAGTAGTGCATAGTGTTGACTCAATGCTGGACCAGACATAACAATTTTAAGAGTGTTAAAGTAATGGAGGTAAACTAATTTCAAATGTATGTTTTCTTGGAAAATGAATCCTTTTATTTGAGACTGAAAACGTTGTGGGATTGACAATGTTTCAACCAAAGTTTAGTGAATGTCTGACAAACTCCACACCAACAACAGATACAGAGAAAACCAACAACAGCAACAGAATAACCACCAGTTAATGAAAAGACTTCTTGTCTGCTTAGTTCAAACTATGCTTTTGATGTCTGAGTGTGTCCTAAAATCCTGGCTGGTTAAGTCACGATGGAGCAGCGTTTCCTGCTTGCCTTTTAACCCTTTCGACCACTTTGATCTAAACTTTGTTATAAAAGCCAAATTTATGAAATAACACAATGACTAAATCCAAAACATTCAAATAGAACATTTCATATTCAAAAAATAACTATAATTTTATCCACTGGTCGAGGCCATCAATATTATAGATCTTCAAATAATGTTTAGAGCCAAGGGAGTGCGTCACAGATTCGTCCTCACATCTAAATGAACTCAAAGTGGCAACATATGATAAGAGAGAGGAGTTGTAAGACAACGTGATGACCACAGAGGACACCTCAAGGGCAGCACCGTGTCATTTCCATCGAGTGACCCGCTGCTAAATGACAGGCAGCATTTATGACGAAGGTAATAGGAGAGGGCATTTAGAGCTTTGAAATATAATCTAATGTGTGCTGACTTTTCTCTGCTAAGCCTGAGCAAGCTGGGCATCGTGCGAAGGTGTGTCACCACTTTGGTTCTCAATGGTGACACGTGAATTTGAAAAATGTATTAAAAAAATGCATGTGTTGCAGATTAAACAGGCATATAAAACACACTGTAGTGCACCTGGGGCATCTTGTTGTATCAGTATATGGAAAGGGTTAATACTGAGCCCTGAGCTCTGTGGATTTGGGGGGCACAAAGATGTTTACATTTAGCCACAGGTACAGGCTCACTCACCTGTGCTCCAGCAGAAAATTCTCTGACCCTGGTGTCTAGGTGGCCGTGGAGCAGCTCCTCGTGCGTGTGGATCTGATGCAGGAGCCGCTTCGGCTGAACGACCTCCTCCTCTGGAGGGAGCTCATCCTGCAGACCTGCAGGAGACAGAAGAAGAGTGATTGCTGCACACTTTGCAAACAAATAATCATCTGTAAATTCAACCAGCAATGGAATATGTTCTTATGCATCATCGTTTCATGTACCCAATATGATTTCCCATGTAAGACTATTTTTGAATTCATTAGCTGTATTTATAGATTGCAATTTAACTGCAAGGCATACCATTAGAAAAATGTTAGATGTTAATGACCTGCTGAGGTTCACTGAACTATAAAGAACAATTAGACACAAATAAAAATAAACCGATTCGACCATCAGCCCTGTGGGCAAAACAGGCAACACATTCGGTTCCTGGATGTTTATGTTTGAATGCGGTGTACTTATCATATAATTTGCTAAAACATTACTGCGCGTGTGAAACTGTGCGTACCCTGAGGATGGAGCGCTGATTGTTAGCATTCAGGAGGTTTATGTCAGAGCTCCATCCTCAGGCTACCTGAGGATGGAGCTCTGATTGTTAGCATTCAGGAGGTTTATGTCATTTATGCTGGCGATTAACTGCTGTTTTAATCATGTAAATACAAGAGGTGTTCTCATAGTAATGTTTTGACAATGATATAACACAATAAGCACAAACAACAGGACTTTTAAATGCACCAAAGCACCACCTACAGGAGAGGAAGAACAAATCCATGTTCTCTGTTTACAAAAAAAAAAAAAGAAAAACCTCCAACCTCTCACTCCTTCAAAAAATAAATCAATCACCAACATTAACATAAATTTTCTTTTGTTTTTCCACTGTGGCACAAATTAAAAAAATAATTCATTTGAGTTGCCGGGCCCACCCATGCAATAGCTCCGCACCCCCCACGTTGGGAACCACTGTTATAAGGTGAATTGAAGATTGGGTTCACTGTCAAACCTTTATCAGTTAGATCTACTGAAATAAATGGAATAGGTTACCACAGGGAATTACCCCATTACCACATCTACACCGGTGACTTTTTGGATGAAGCGACGAGTAGTTCTGACCTTGGCACTGTGTGAGATCCGTGCAACTGCTTCTAAATCAAGATTCCAATTCTACTTTTGAAAAATATAAATTTTACATTTGCTTTTAATTATAAAATATCACATATATATATCACTTTTTGAAAGAAAAATGTGAAAAATTTTACCCGAGTCGTTTAATTTCTAATGCACATTTATGTTTAAATCTGTTATTTCTGTAGGTCCTTGAATGTTGCCGTTAATGAGTCCTTATTGACCAGAGCTGGGGGTTAAGTCTTGACCACAGCTGGTGTCAAACATGTTACTCTTCTTTGTTTTGACTCTATATGTGTCTGACAAATTAAAGTTAAATAAAAATAAATAAAACCTCGTACCTGACGCGGCAGCGGCAACAGCGTGGACCCAGGGAGCACACGCTGCAGCCAACAGCAGGCATCTCACAGCGAGCATGGTGCTCACATAGTCCCGCTGATTCCTGCGGTCCGTCGCCGTTAGAAGAACAGAGGAGCTGAGCCGTGAGCGCAGCTGCAGCAGGAGAAGCAGCAGGAGGAGGAGGAGGAAGAGGAGGAGGAGGAGAAGAGATGAGGTTCACGGTGGAGACAAAAACAACAACGCGCTTCCTCCAGAAGCGGCGCCCCCATCTCTCAGCTCCCAAGCCCGCC